CTTGACATTCCTTCTGCTCACTGTACCAGAGTGTCTCAGTGGTTTAGATAACCAGTGAGCCTGAAATGCAAAACAGCACAAATGTGTTCTGAATTAGATAAATCTGGAAGGATAAATGTTTATTAAATACCTATGATGTGATGGACCTATATAGGTTTATATTAATAATCATCATAGTATCTGAAGGTCTATAATTTTTTAATTCCCCCCCCTTCCTTCAGAGGATATATGGACTGTAAGTGGAAATTGAAAGGAAAACCAAGTTGAAAGATGATCTTTTCATAAGAGATCACTAACCATTGTGACATGATGTTTTGTTGAATAACCCATTTCACTGAGTAGGAAGCCTCTCCCAGGTCTTCCCACTGCCATTGGGGGGGAGTGTGACGGAGGGCATTGTTTACTTGTTACCTAGATCCCCCCACCCTCTTCCAATGCAGAATTACAATTTTATTATAATTTAATAACATCAGTTCCACAATATTATCTGGATAAAAACTGAAATCTCAGTGACCACCAAAATACCTGTTTCCAACAAAACTGCTTCCCAGTCTAGAGCCTATCATTTTTCCTATATTAAGTTATTTTTAAAACATACAAAATGGAAAACATTGCCTGTACTCAGACAGATATAGCTTACATGAACTTAGCCAGCCACCATTCATTTGGATCACCACTGGGAGGAGTTTATAATCAGACGTGGCAATATTTTTTTTTTCTTTACCTGCAGCATAGCAGCAGGACAGAACCAGAGAAATGTGGGTTATTATTTATCAGACTTGACATCAGATGACTTTACTGCAGGCTGCAGCTTTGCCTGCGTGTCTCGCAGTTGTGGGATGATGCTGTGAAAGAAAGCGTCTATTGTAGCCACTGCAGGAAGAAAATAAAGTGTCACCAATTAGCAACGAATGCAATAGTTGAATCACTGTGGCTTTTAGAAAACTGAAATTATTTGCTTGGCTGCGCGTCTGGTCAATATTCTCGTAGAAACAAACAAATGTTTAACTGACATTTTACTAGCTGGAGATTGATGGGCAGCGTTTGCCCCCATTTCAAAACCGTAGATTTGCTTTCCGGTGCCTAGCTCCTTTCCCCGTGAAAGGAGAATGTTACTGATGAGCTGTCAAATTAGCTGGCACATAATAGGCATCAAATAAACATTTGTTGAATGAATAAATTAAGGATAGCCATTATTTACTAAATCCAAACCAGATGTGCAAGCTACCTTAGCATTCTCATTTTCATTGTACATGCGGGGAAGTTACCACACTGGGATTTAGAGTTTAGGCTGTTTTCTACAGTATTATTACCCACCCACCCTTTTCCTAGGGACATTATGGTAAATACCAAAATTAAAAACACACATGTTTGTATAAGAATATACAAATATACACAGGGCATAGAATTAAAAAGGCAAACTCAAGAGATAGCTTGGCTCCAATACATAGTTGCTGGGTGAACTTGAATAGTTTTGCTGTAACCCACTGAGCCTCAGTTTTCCTTATTTATAAAATACTAGAGGCATGGGACACAAAATCGTGCATGGGGGGTGTCCCTCAGCCCACCTGCACCCTCTCCAATCGGGGCATGTCAAGACATCCCTCTGACAATTCAAGACTGCTAGCTCCTAACTGCTCACCTGCCTGATTGCCCCTAACTGCCTCTGCCTACTGGCCTGATCACCCCCTAACCATTCCCCTGCCGACTTGATCACTCCCAAGTGTCCTCCCCTGACAGTCTGATCGCCCCCAACTGCCCTCTCTTGCTGGCCTGGTGACCCCCAACTACTTGCTCACCTATACTGGCCTGATCTCAACCCTAACTGCTTGCTCCCCTGCCAGCCTGATCGCTCCTAACCTTCTCTGCCTCAGCCTTTGTGACTTTGTCCAGAAAAAAAGTCGATGTCCGGCATAATTAGCATATTACCCTTTTATTAGAATAGATGGCTCATAATAGGATCTACCTCGTAACCTTGTTATGAGAGCTAAACTAGATAATCTATGTGGTGTGTCTAGTAAAGTGCCTGACACATAACAAGCCTAGCATTAATATTAGCTATTAGTTCACACTCCTGGGGCTTTCCATAGCAACTTTGCTAAGTTGCAAAGAGACCGATTTGTTTCCTTTTAGGTGGCCAACAGCAATGTACATGTATTGACAAAGCAACCTCCTTTGTTATTTTTTAAAAGATGCAGACGTTTCCAAAAACATGGCTGAGATGCAGTCAGTTGGCGAGACAACCCCAGTTCTTCCTCTCTTCCCCGCTTCCTGCTCTGACTCCTCATGTAACTGCAAGGTTACTGCTGCACATTTTACTTACACACACACACACACACACACACACACACACACACACACAAAATTCAAAACACTTTCTCTTAGTTCCCACTACAATTGAGTCAAATTCATATTTTTAAAAGGAACTTTACTAAACCTAAGAGAAAACAAAAAATAATTCAAATACAGATGTACAAGCCCATGTGTGTGTGTGTGTGTGTGTGTGTGTGTGTGTGTGTTGTTTACTTTTCTCTGAGTTAATATCTTTGGGTTTATTAATTCACTTCCCTAATATTCTCTGTGCCCTCTTCTTGTAATTTTATTTGTTTTACACTTTGCATTGAGTATGTATTTTTGTAAGGCATTTTAAATATTTAATGGGGACAAAGGGGACCAGGTATAAAACAAGGTAGATGATGATGATGATAGATAGATAGATAGATAGATAGATAGATAGATGATAGATAAGTAGATGATAGAGATAGATAGATGATAGATAAGTAGATGATAGAGATAGATAGATGATAGATAGATAGATAGATAGATAGATAGATAGATAGATATGATAGATAGATAGATAGATAGATAGATAGATATGATAGATGATAGATAGATAGATAGATAGATAGATAGATAGATAGATAGAGATGATAGATAGATAGATAGATAGATAGATAGATAGATAGATAGAGATGATATATGATAGATGATGATAGATAGATAGATAGATAGAGATGGTAGATAGATAGATAGAGATGGTAGATAGATAGATGATAGATAGATAGATAGATAGATAGATAGATAGATAGATAGATAGATATAATTTTTCAGCATTGTTGAAACTCAATTAACTACCTCTCAACCAAAAAGGTGACACCTTCCCCTGCCAGCAGCCTGACTCCACTGGTTGGACACAGTCTTTCTTCCTATCATACAGGAGGCCATGAGTGGCCTATCTTGCTCTCTTCTCTTCACTGCCATTTCCCAGGACTATAAAGATTATAAAGACTGATGTAATCAAAGCTTTTATCCTCGCTGGCTCAAATTAGCAATGCTGTCTGCTTTTAGAACACTTTGTAATTAAACTGAACCACTAAAGAGGTATGATAGATAGAGACAAACTCATAGTACCATGATATCTTGATATTATAGTCACATAAGACATTTCTGCTCATCAATCCCAGAGGGCATTTATGTCCTCAATAAGAGATTTGTTGATGATACCATATTCATCTCTTATATCCACCAGCTATGCATCATGAAAGGCATTTAAAGGCATTTAAGAAGTACGTGTTAAATTGAGTTGAACTGAACTGAAAACACTTATGTCCTTTTCTCATGTATTAGATTTTGAGTGACAGAACTTAAAAACTAAACTGACATAATTGGATCTTGCACCTGCCATTGCTTTATTAGAAATATCCTAATAAAAGAGTAATATGCAAATTGACCATCATCATTCCAAGACACAAGATGGCCACCCCATGTGGTCAAAAATGGTTGCCCCATGTGGATACAAGATGGCCTGGAGGGAGGGCAGTTGTGGCAATTAGGGGTGACAGGTCAGCAGAGGAAGGCAATTGGGTGTGACCAGGCCTGCAGAGGAGGGCATTTGAGGGAGACAAGGCCAGCAAGGGAGGGCAGTTGGGGGGGACCCAGACCTGCAGTGGAAGACATTTGGGGAGAACCCAGGCCTGCAGGGGAGGGCAGTTGGGGGAGACCAGGCCAGCAGGGAAGGGCAGTTGGGGGGGGGGGGAACCAGGCCTATAGGGGAGGGCCTTTGTGGAGGACAAGGCCTGCAGGGGAAGCCATTGGTAGGGACTAGGACAGCAGGGGTAGGACAGTTGGGGGGACCCAGGTCTGTAGGGGAGGGCAGTTAGGGGCAATTGGACCAGCTGGGGAGCAGTTAGGCATCAATCAGGCTGGCAGGGGAGTGGTTAGAGGGTGATCAGGTTGGCAGGCAGAAGCATTTAGGGGCAATCAGGCAGAGGCAAGCAAGTGGTTGGGTGCCAGCAGTCCTGAATTGTGAGAAGGATGTTCAACCACCTGTTTAGGCCCGATGCCAGTGGTATCAGTACCATATAGGCGATTAGACATCCTCGAGGGGTCCCAGATTGGAGAGGGTGCAGACTGGGCTGAGGGACACACACCCCTCCACTGTGTGCAAATTTCATGCACTGAGCCTCTAGTGTATATTTATATTTCCAGTCGTTGCTTTATTATATATGTGTACCCTATATAATAAAGAGGTAATATACAAATTGACCTTCATGCCCTCACACAAGATGGTCACTCCCATGTGATCAAAGATGGCCACCACAATATAGCCTGCAGGGGAGGGCAGTTGTGGGCAATCAGGCTGGCAGGGGAGCAGTTAAGCACCGATCAGGCTGGCAGGGGAGTGGTTAGGGATAATCAGGCAGGCAGGCAGACGAGTAGTTGGGACCCAGCAGTCCTGGATTGTGAGAGGGATGTCCAACTGCTGGTTTAAGCTCGAACTCACAGGGATCAGGCCTATACAAGCAGTCAGACATCCTCTGAGGAGTCCCAGATTAGGGAGGTTCCAGGCTGGGCTGAGGGACACCACCCCCTCAGTGCACAAATTTCATGCAGCAGGCCTCTAGTGTGTGTATGAGTGTATGTGTGTATTTAATTTATTTAACATTGAAGAACTGAAGTGCATAATGATGAATTAAACAAACTATCATTGATTTTTATAGGGATTCAAGGATATTTCTCTTGAGAGGTTTATACATGGTGGAGCCAATGTTACAGGATTCCAGCTGGTGGATTTTAATACACCTATGGTAACCAAATTAATGGATCGCTGGAAGAAACTAGACCAGAGAGAGTATCCAGGATCTGAGACTCCTCCAAAGGTAGTTGTTTGTTTTTGTCTTATATATGTTTAGTATTTTCCAAATTTAACATAGAAAGTTCATGATGCAGTTTTTCTGGTACTTTGTCCTCAGACAGTGTGATGGGCAGAAGCATTTTGTCACTATCACTGTGCTGCACCAGCCCTCAATTATTTCTAAATGTCTATATTTAAGAGTAGAAGTGGTAGTGCTCAAGCAGTTTCCTGCTATTACTATTACTTTTTAAATTTCCATTGAAGGTATGGAATGCTTTTTTATTTTAATCCTCACCTAAGGATATGTTCTTCACTGATTCTAGAAAGGGAGGAAGGGAGCAGGGGACACATGTCCTGACCAGGGATCAGATTGCAATCTGAGTATGTGCCCTGACTGGGAATTGAACCCACAACCCATCAGTGCACCAGACGATGCTCTAACCACTGAGTATACCAGCCAGGGGAAATCGTATGCTCCAAACAACATTTGTTAACTAAATATTTCAAATTTGAACAACATTGGTAACTATCCACCCAGGAAAAAATAAATTTTTAAAAACCTGTTTTCAACGTGATTTAAATTACTATATAAATTAGGAAATTGGTAGAATGTAAAATGTATAACCTTTTAAAAAAATATTTTTCAAATAAATAGTAAAAGGCCTAGTTGTTTAATTTTTTCTGATAGACATTGCAGAAGTGTTACTTGTATCTGCAAAGGAAGCGGGTAAATTTCTGATTATAGCAATTTTTCCTGTTTGTTTTTTTCCAAAAGAGAACATATATTTTAAAGAGAAAGGGAGAAGAGAGAGAGAGATAGAAACATCAATGATGGGAGAGAATTATTGATTGTCTACTTTCTGCACATCTCCTACTGGGATTCAAACCCTCAATCTGGACATATTTCCTTGACCGGAATGGAGCCTGGGACCCTTTAGTCTTCAGGCAGCTGATCAATGATTCTCTCTTATCATTGATGTTTCTCTCTCTCTCTCCCTCTCCTTTTTTTTTTTAAGAAACCTTGTGAATTCTTTTTTCTATTGCCTTTAGTAGGTTCAAATATGAGTCATGCCAGAAGCTCAATCATATCATGTATTCATGCCCAAAGAGAAGAATGACAAGCTTCCTGTTGAATGCATTTCTAATCTAGACTGTTTGCCAGACAGCGGCTCCCCTCACTCTGCCCTCAGTGTCTGCGGAGACTCTCTTCCTCATGAGACACCCTTATCTCTTCCTTCCTCACACCTGTTGTTGTGAGACCATTAATCATGCTCATATTTCTTCTGCAAACCATCTGTTCACATTTTTCTTACCCTTTGAGTTTTAGTAGCTAGAATGAGCTTCAAACTTCCTGTCAGTGTTTTATAGCTTCTTGCGACTATTTTTCGTTTCAGAGATAGTATTAACATGTGGTCAAAGCATCCATTGTGGTCCCCCCCACCTGGACCACTGGCGTCCTTAGCCCTTTCCTACCTTTAGCCCATCCCAATGCCTATATTTACTAACCTGTAACTGGACTTCTCTATGCTACAGCTTTGGCAAATAAAAGGCATCTAGTGTCATACGTATTTTTATATGTAAATACAAATAATTTTCTCACCTTTCACAGCTCTTAGCGTGATGCTAAGCACTCAGTGGCCATTTAATAAATACAGAGGTAGGCAAAAGTAGGTTCACGGTTGTACATATGAAAAATACAACAATTAATAATATTACAATAATAAAGTGTTTCATATACTCACATATGTAAACCTACTTTTGCCAACCCCATATATACAGGTGATTCTCGTTATCCACAGTAGTTATGTTCTATAAAGTTGCTGTGAACACTGGACCTTAGTTCCCAAGCGGAAAACAAGATTAGGTTCCTGCAAGCCTCCAGTCACAGCGTTTTTGTCCACTGATCAACACATAGCACACATGTTTTTGTTTACAGACAGCTTATATGTTCAATACACCAGAGGCCCAGAGCATGGATTCATGCACCTGTGGGGTCCCTCAGGGTGGCCTGTGGGATCAGGTGGAAACTGGCTCTCTGACATTCCTCAAGGGGTCCCAGATTGCCAGAGGGCACAGGCCAGGCCAAGGGGCCCCAGTGGTGCACGATCGGGGACAGGGAAGGACCTCAGGATGGCTCTAGGGAGTGTCCAGCCCATCTTGCCCAATCCCTATCCACGGACCCCAGCAGCAAGCTAACTTACCAGTCAGAGCGTCTGCCCCCTGGTGGTCAGTGTGCATCATAGCAACAGGTCGAATGAACAGTTGGACACTTAGCATATTAGGCTTTTATTATATAGGATTGTTGATTCATTAACATTGACGTCATGGCTAATAGCACTATGACTCATGCCTGAACAAAGATTACCTCATGTATTTTCTCCATAAAGCACACCACAGACTTCTTGCACTGAGGAACACTAAGCAGATCTACACTTTTGAGCCCTTTTAAGCAGTGAAATTATCAGCAAAAAGCACAAAACCGTGAGAAACCTGTCACTAAACAGATCACATGGGGACACTTGTCTATAGCCTGAGAGCTGTAGACAGGAAGGCATAGCACCCCCTTGGGCTGCAGCTGGGAACCTGTGCCTTGGAGGCTGAGGTTAGCACCAGGCCACACACATATGCAAATAACGGCCCTGATGATGGATTTGGGGATCACAAATTTGACCAAGAAGGCAAATGTTCAATATGGAATCCATGAACAATGAGGATTACATTAATTAAATTATATTTGATTTTTTTTTGGGGGGGGGGGGGGCATAGTGTTTTGACCAAGATTTAAAGCATGATTTTTGCCTTGTCTCACACTGTCTTCAAAAAAATATTTTGGCCCTAGTCAGTTTGGCTCAGTGGATAGAGTATCTGCCTGCAGACTGAAGGGGTCACAGGTTCAATTCTGGTCACATGCCTGGGTTGTGGGTTCGATCCCCAGTAGGGCCATGCAGGAGGCAGCTGATCAGTGGTGTTACTCTCTCATCAATGTTTCTATCTCTCTATCCCTTTCTTGAAATTAATAAAATAACATATATTTAAAAATATTTTTTAAAAATAAAAAAATCTGTGCGAGTACCCCACGTTGGGCTGCCAGTTGCAAGTGCCCCCCCAACCCCCCACGTCCTGCATAGGGTTCAGGTTCAGGGTTTGGGCTCTGGAGGAGGCTGGACACAAATGAAAGAGACTAGATAAGAAAATATTAATTTGGGAATTGGGGGTCAGGTGGGAGCCCAGCTCAAGAGGAAGGACAGCCTTGCCATCCTTTTTATTCAGGTTTGGGGTACAATTATAACCATTAGGCAGACAATTCCTATAATAGCTCGATGATAGCCCAGCAGCAAGGACTTACATAAACTAAAAGGTGGAAGTTGCATCAGCTTCCTTTGTCTCAACTAGACAGCGGTGCTTGGCTCTGACCGTGGCCAAAGCCTTCAAAGTTGACCAGCCTTCCAGATTCCTTGTCCACCTCTTTCTGCTGGTGAAGGCAATGGCAGCTTCCAACACTTCTGGAATGAAGATTTCCCACAATGCAGGCCTAACACCCAGTTTTGTCCCTCTGCTCCTTTGGGGCCAGGAAGATTAAACAGTCCTAACTGTTCCCACGCCTTCTCAGTCCCCTGCTCTTGCTGCACCTCAGCTGCCTCCCCCTTCAATTCCACCGTCCCAGCCTTGAACTCAAATACACGTTCTCTGTAAAGACTTTTCTTAGTCCTCCCATACATATGATCCTTTCTCCTTTGTAATGGCCATAATCTTTGCATGTATCCTTCTCACCAAGGACTTACAGTAGTTACTTGTCTACTTGTGTCACATCTATAGACACCTTTGGGCAGAAACCATCTACTCTGTGTCTTTGTAGTCCTCACCACTGCCAGCCCGGGTCTAGCACATTTTTCAAGAGCTCTCAGATACGATCTAAAATTTTATTCTCACAAAGACCACAGGTTTGTTTTTGGTGTTTGTTTGTTTTGCCCTGTTTTGTGTTTCATAAGTGAAAATGCACTCCACATTCCCATAAGATTGTGCAGAGCAGAACAAGAATTCATCTAGTTCTTCCTTCTCGGAGCCCAGACCTTTGCCACTGCCCTATGATTCTGCCAAACTGCTTTGTTATCTGCAAACCATGGTAAACAGTACTCATCACCAATCTAACCACATTAGTAAAATGAAGAGTTTAATTAATAAGAATTTCCTGGATGCCATCTAGCAGTGTGTGTGCCCATATATATGATTTTTTTAATGTTAGCAGAATAAGACATGTGGGAAAGAATTAAATCATTCGCAAAGGTAAATCTGACTTAAACTACTGCTACTGTCCATCCATCAGCTCAATGACCTGCCAAAGGCCTAAAGCTCCGGCTGAATGTCTGCTTTGCTCCACTCCTCTCTGTATGACATCTGTTCTTTTTTACAGTTCACTTGTTTCATAAGAACGAATGGTTTTTTAAAAACACAGCAAGTGTATTTGCTCTTTGGTGCCATCTCTTCTCAGCTTTTTTTCTCCCTATCAAAAAAAGCAGCAATCTTTTCTTCACTCCAACCTGGTGTGAATGCCTATGCTATCCTTAAGCCTATTTTGCCATGTACTTGAAGAATATGTAGCAAGGCTCTTTATTTACACGCATCACACATATCTTTCTGATGAAGCTTTTTAATTAGGTTCTGTACCACCATTGATAGAATCTTTGTTAATCTATATTCTTTAACATTTCTATGTTTTTCCTGGAGTGCTGGCTGCCATGCCTAGTAGGCATATTGCATAAGTCTGCTTTCTACAATTAGGATTTCAAATGATTTTTCCTTGTTTATAAGCAGCAAATCAAGGAGATCATCTTCCATATTCCACAGCACAAAACTACACCTAGTTTAAGGTTAGAATGTGTTTATCATATAGCATTGAGGCTCTGGCTGGGTAGCTCAATTGGTTGAAGTGCTGTCCTCATGCACCAAAATTGTAGGTTCAGTCCCCAGTCTGCAAGACATACTTATAAGAATCAGTAAATACATAAATGAGTTGAACAACAAATTGATATTTTTCTTTTCCCCTTCTCTCTCTCCCTCTCTCTCTCTCTCTCTCTCTCTCTCTCTCTCTCTCTCTCTCTCTCTCTCTCTAAAAATAAATAAAAAAATTTGACCACATGGAATTCCTGAAAGAGATAATGTAGCTTTTTGTCATGATTGGCAGCTGATGCTCTGCCATGCTTCAAAAAAATAGTGCCATATTCCTCAAGATTGGGAATTTTCTTATCAAACTCTACAAGAATTCCATGTTTTATTTTTATATTTACCTGTTTTTCCTCACTTTCCTAACCTTAATAATCCTTTCATGAGTGCTCTCTCTTTTCTCAAAGAGAAGCATTGGGAGATTATTTAAAAAACAAAAACAAAAAACAGATAATCTCAACTTCACTTCTCCACTGTGATCCAAGGTTATGATGGGAAACTGGAGAAATGGTTTAGCCTTCCTGAGCACATTCAGCAGACATGGGCATAACAGTACTCACTGTTAGCACAGTGACTGGTGCAAACACATCTGTTAAATAAGTAGTTGCTATTTCTGGCATCCAACATCCGAGTAACAATAAGCACTCATTCTTCTGAGGAACTGAACAAAGATACACACTTCAGGTCAACAGACATAGATTAAATCTCAAGGTTCCTGGCCAGGCATTTCGGAAGAGGAAAAGAGAGAGATCCCAGCCCTCCTGGGTCTTCACCGCAGTTGCAGGCTACCAGGCAGGTGGCAGCAACACTGCTCTCAGCTTTCTGTACTTTAGTGTTTCTACTGAAACTTAATGAAAACATATCCCTTAAAGGTTTTGCTTCTTTCCATTGTTAGACAACTGGACATTAGAATTTCTGCTCTTCAGAAATCAATGAGAATCATAAGATTGGCTATATGGTCTTTGTAATCCAGCAATCACAGAAGTCTTGATGCTAGAAGCAATTATCAATAACTTAACTATGCTTCAGACAGGATGGGGCTTTATGTCATAAGCCCACAGTGCTGCCAGACTATTTCTGTTGGTTGATAAGATTTTAACATTTACCCTTATAATTACTTTCATTTTGGTAGTACACATCCGCTCTGACTTATGATGGAGTCCTGGTGATGGCCGAAACTTTCCGAAGTCTTAGGAGGCAGAAAATTGATATTTCAAGAAGAGGAAATGCTGGGGATTGCCTGGCCAATCCTGCTGCTCCGTGGGGCCAGGGAATTGACATGGAGAGGACACTCAAACAGGTAACTCACAATTTTATTTAAGTTCAATTTACTTAACGCTGCTGTTTGAGTAGAGTATTCAAATAAACAGAATAATGTATTTGAAAGTAAATATATGTAAAAGTCATTTTAATATTTTGGACTACTAACATGTTTGAGCATTTCTAAATATAAAACTGAGAAGAATACCAATGATTATATTCAGTGTGATGTTTAGTCAGGTTAAGCTAGGTTATGCTGTATAACAAACAACCCCCAACTTCCAGTGGTTTACAACCATAGAAGAGTGTTTCTCACTCACGAACACACTAGGGTAGCAAGGACACTCTGCTTATTGTAATCACTCAGAGACCCAGGCTGACAGACCAACTGCCATCTTGAATGTTACAAAAGAAAATAAAGTTGAGGCTAGGTTTCAATTTGGCCATTAAACTCTGGCCCAGTGGTGACCCTCATCACATTTGTTTACAACTCGTTTGTCAGAAGAGAGTCACACAGACCTCACTCACCACCGGGGATTCAGGAAGCATGAACTTACCTTGAGCCAAGAATGGGGAAGACCCAAAAATATTTGGAAAACGCTACTAATGACAACCTCCATAGACCTTGAAATCACCTTGTAACCTTGATTTTAGTCTTGATAGTTATCCTAACACTATTGATTTTAGTCTTTTATAGTTATACTAACACTATTTTCCAAATGTTTAATGTACTATGTTTATATTTTTAAATATTACATTTTAAGTGTTCTGAAATGCCATGCATTCAGAAAATGTTACATAAAAACAATGAATAAGAAGGAAATTTGGAATAAAATGCATGCGAATATTTTCAAAATATATGTATATTTTTAATTTTTTACATCTTAATTTTAATGTTAGCAAGGAGAAATATGATCCAATGTGGTTATCAGGGCTGTTAATTATGTGCATCTACAGATAAAACTGAAAAGTAAATATAAACAAACCATATTTCTTGTTACTATAAACAATACTTCGATTCTAAGGAGTATTCTGTCAGTGACAATGGAAACTTTATAATATAAAAAACAAATTACACACGTTCATCTCCCAGGAATATAGTAGAATTGTTTATACCTTCCTTTGGTATTTCTCTTTCAGATTCTACCCCATGCTGTGCTAGTGAGTTGCTTGTATAGTTCCACACCTATATCTACTCTGAGCCTAACCTATGAAGCTGAGGTTTAGGTGAAATGGCAGATAAACACATGTTCGGGTTTGTTTTATTTTTCACTTATAGGTTCGCATTCAAGGGCTGACGGGGAACGTCCAGTTTGACCACTACGGACGCAGGGTCAATTACTCGATGGATGTGTTTGAGCTAAAGAGCACAGGGCCAAGGAAGGTGAGTCATGCTCCAGCTCTGTCTTACTTTGCATTTGACATTTTTAAAGGCTTATAGGTGAAAGGGAACGGGATATTCTGCATTTTTTAAATATGTGTACTTACAAATAGTACTGTCCTGACAACCTGTGCTGAAATGAAACTAATATTTAGTCATGTGCCAAAGCTGAAACGAACTAATCTACACACCTTTATATCCTTTATCCAAAATGGAAGCAAAGCGATATATTTTCTAAAGCTTAGCAGAAAAGCACACAATGCAGGTAAGATACCCGCATGCAGTCATTTATAAGAGACAACGAAGAAAACTGTTTCTAATGGATGGGCATATTTTGAACAGGCTGATGTTCTTGACATAAACAAATGAACACATTCAAGTGAGCAAAGGAGAGAGCAGAGAGAAGATAAGATATATAAGGTTAGTGCCAGGCTGAGGAGGGAGAGAAATACCTAAGAAACTCCCACTGAGGGGTCAGGGGGGTTGTTCAGAAAGCTGTTGGTGGCAGATCCTTGGGTTTCAGAAGGTAACTCTGCGGGCATAATGTGATGGGGCATGTCGGCAGTTTTCCCAGCATCCAGAAAATATACAGTGAAGCAATACCCCCACCACAGCAATTGACTATGGGCATTTTATTCACTTATAATTAAATAATTTTTAACATTTTGTTTCTCTAGGATCAGCTAGGATGCTCAAAGAAAGAGAACATTCGAGTTATTTATCTAAAAGCTTCATTTGTTTCTTCACTTGGCTAGTTAAAAAACCTTTCCCAAATATACTTTCCTGCTTTACTAGAATAATTATAGCTACACTTTATGAAAAGTCTGCTGTGTTCCAAGAGTGGGATTCGGTGTAACTGAATCCTAACAACAAACTAAACATTAGTACTGTTATCTCCCTTTTTCCAATGAGAAAATCTTTGGTCCAATAGGGCATGGTTACTTGTTCAAGGCCTGTTATTAAGGAAACAAAGACTTTAATTCAGATATGTCTGACTCCAGAAACTCTCTATACCATTACTCACCTGAGTAGACCCTGCTGAGAGGGAATTTATTCTCTCAAAGGGTAGACTACAGTACGTTCCATAGGACAGTTACAGAGTAGGCATGTGGCAGTTCCAAGGAGGAAAAATCACTTCCAGCTGGAGAAAAGCAAACCAAGCAAGGAAGGCTGCATGGAGGAGGTGGGGTTAAGCACAGCCATGAAGTTAGAGTTTGAAATGGAAGAGGCAAGAACCTGCAGACAAGTGGCCAGGAGGGCAATCAATAGCTGTAAATGGCAGGGGTTCACTGAGCTGTGTTTTGCTGCCATGAGAACCATTTCTGTCTAGCATTTCATTCTCTTGCGGCATCTCCTGGAGAGCAGGCTGACAGCTGATCCAGAGCAGGCCGGAGCCCACCTGATCAGGTCAGGGGGGCAGGAGATGGACAGCAGGTGGGAAGCCAGCGCATGGTGGGCTCCTCTAAGGGGCCTGCCACAGCAAGGGATGGACATGCATTCCCAAAGAGACATTTCGGGGTTCATGTGAACCTTGAACTTGACCTCTGTCAGCACACAGCCAACAAGTGAGAAAGAGGCTCATTGTAAGCAAAGGCCCTCAGAGAGCCGGGGAGCAGACAGCATGCTCTTGGGGCTCCTAGAAACACTGGCTGATGGGGGAACTCATCCCCTACCACCCCCGGATCTTAGAAACGAGCTGAGCAGGAACTTTCTCACAGGCACAAGGCAGCTCCGCCTTCCACAAGACATTAAGTGCAAACGTGGAATGATCTCTCCATGGAAGAAAGAATAACGGGGAGGAAGAAGCTGGCAGTAACCAATGGCAATATCCGGAGGACTATGCTCCGTGGTGTTTCTCTTGAGGGAACTCATTAATAAAGAAACAATGGTCTTTCCCAGAGAATAGGCCGCTGAGATCTGGGGGGTGGCTGCAGCTACTGAAGGGCTAAACTCTGAAACCTCTTTTCATGTCATACGTCTGTCCTGCAGAAAGGAGATTAATAGGAAACAACTAATATGTTGGTTTTTTTAAGTATATGTAGGACTTGAGAGGTGGTAGGACTCAGAGGCATACTTGTTTTTACATTAAATTGATCATTGGGTTATTAAATAAATACCAGCTACAAATGAATTCATATGAACAATTGAAAATAGTGGTTGAATTCATACACATTCATAATTTCAGATCACGCTAAGTGTAGCAAGCCATACTAATGAAAAATTTTCTCCAACTATTCTGTTATTGAGTTATACATATACTATTTATGACTAATATAGTGCTTCTTTCTGACATGTTAATGCTTATTTTATTTTAATATGTGCACAAATGCTAACAGTTTAGGAACTTGAAGGAAGCAAGAGAGACTTCCTACACATATTAGAACAAGTAGCAAACACAGCAGTGAGCTATTGCACATATTTTGTTGGACACGTGAGTTTTAGGAACTGCATCCAGAAATTCAAGGGGAAAAACAAGTTTGGCAAGCATGAAATAAGCATCCAATTAAGGAGGCTCTGGAGCATGATAACAAAGCATATATGAAGTTGGTGACTTACAGACCTGAGTTTTGAATTCTGGCCCTGCTGGAGTATAATCTGGTGAAATGTAATTAATATTCTAAAATAGGTTTTAAAATCAAAACCATAGTTTAACAGCATCTACTTCTGCATTTGCTCTGTTTATACACTTTAAGATGCATATTTACAAAAGCACTAAGTACCATGTCTGTTGCAAAGCAAGCAGTCAATAGCGGTAACCATTGTGTTACATAACGTCTGCATGATTCAAAGGCCCCTAATTTTCCTTTCAGACCTATTGGGGCCCAGGCAGGTGAGGCTCTGTTGGCTGGAGCATCATCTCATATACAGAAAGATCAAAGGTCCAGTTCCCAGTCAGGGCGCATACGCAGCTTTTGGATTTGGTGCCTGTCGGGGCGCCTAGCGAGGCAGCTAATCAATGTTCCTCTCTCACATTGATGTTCCTCACTCTTCTCTCCATCCTTTCTCTCCTTTCTCTCTCTCCCTTCCCCTCTCTAAAAGAAAAAAAAAAGCTCATTATAGTTTACTACTGAACTACTTAATTTATCATATGAAAATAAGTTTCCTATCAAATTTACATGACAAATTAAGATAAGGATTTCATTTTTAAATGAAAAAGTAATTTTGAAAATAAAAATGTTGTTTATTAATCTCTGATGTATTTAGCATTTTAGAAATAAAATAAAAAAAACCTGTTACTGAAGGACTAGGTTATATCAAACCAAAAACTGTTTCTATGTTGCTTTAAAACACACACACACACACACACACACACACACACACACACAAATTGGTTTTGCTAGAAAATATCAAACTGTTTTTGTTGGAAAACAGCCATATTTCAAATGTCCCTTTGTACATATGGCTATTCCTTTTACCTGTACCGTTACTGATAAAATGTTAGGGAGTGCCAGTCTGTCTCACTAGAAGAGAGGCTCAACAGAAAATGGTGTTTCACTGTGTCCACATTCCTTTTGAACCCCTCATTCCCAATGCCTCAGCTACTCCTTAATTCTAAACTATAACGTTGCCAAATGCATAATCAGGCAGTATCTTCAACATCAGGAAAGCTGGCTCATTGTCAATTAAAAATAACTTCCCAACTCTTTTCTGTCTGTGTTTTTAATTCGTTTTGTTTTCTTATTAGTGTCACTCATAGTTCCCATAAGAATATTCTAAAATGTGTTTTCAAGAATTTTCTCTATTTGGCAGGTTGGTTACTGGAATGACATGGACAAATTAGTCTTGATTCAAGACGTACCCACTCTTGGCAATGACACAGCAGCTATTGAGAACAGAACAGTGGTTGTAACCACAATCATGGTAAGTGTTGGTCTATGCTTTATGCTGTTCCGCTTTGTCCACAGGCAATTTTAATTCCCAGCTGTGGTGAAAGAGGGAGGGTGAAAGTGGTAGTGGCATGGGTGCTCTGATCCACAAAAGTCTGATGAGACTTTGAGTAGGTTTGTCCTGAGCTTTGAGTGCATCTCGTACTTTTATTTGTATTGTCTTCTGTGGCACTGTTGTTCTTAGGAAAATGCTCAAATGTCAAAAACTGAAACTGTCACACTCTAGTTGGAAATGTGTAAAATGCTAAGATTCCAAAGGACAAAAGAATGAACGTGAAAAAGATCAGCAACCAATAACCTAAAGTAGCTGGTAGTAAACACCATATTATTATTGTTATTATATTTTTAAATATCAATGTAATGACAGTTAATGGTGTTTAAAATGATTGTCTCCAGGGAGTTTAATCGTTGGGCAATGATTCGCATTGTCTGTTTGTATACTGTAGAAATGAATGTGAAGATTTTAATGAGCATGTTTACAACTGAATGCTTTAGAAATAAATTTTGTTTTATATTTATTTTTAATGCAAACAAATTTTTGCACCGATTATTTTTCTCACTGACTAGTATCAAACAACGTCTAGAAATTAAGAAAAAAATGACTGCTTCATTCATTCACCTCCTAAAATACAAAAATACTCATAATTTTAAGGCTACTTTTTCAAAGAGATTTTCATGAAGCCACCTTTTAAATAATAAAAATTCTTATATGTTTTTCTCTTCTAAAGTCAAACATGCCCTTTCAAGTCAATGCTAGTCAAAGGAGATCAACAATCGGTGACCTTTTCTGTCTAATTTAAATTTATACATCCTCAGCTCACTGTCTTGTTCGGCAGCACATATTTTTAATCATTTATGAAGCCCTTACTCTAAGTAAAGTGGAAGTATTTTATGTCATTTAGTTTTTAGCTCATGTAATTTTAATTTGAGGTTTTAGTAATGCTGAGTTATTCCCAACATTTTGACATTGAGGTCAAAGCATAAAAATGCAAAGAGAAGCCTTCCTATGTGCAATTAGCTTTATCTGTGTTGCATCACTAGACAGCAATTTAATGTTGATCTGCCAAGTCTTGATCAGAAGTTTGTGATTTTAGAACGAAACCAATCAACCACAGCGTTTGTGTAAGAGTGCAAAGTCTATACCTTCTAACGTAATTGTGTAATATTTGCATGGGACTTGGAAAGCAATGCATATATATTTCTTTTCCTAAAAAAGACACAGTAATGGAAATTCATACTTCAGTGCAGTCCTCCTCTTTTCAGCCTCTGATGAAGAATCCTATTTTAAGAAATTGATCGAGAAAGAATTGAGTTCCACCGGTGTTCGACTATTCGGAGCAAGGCTCACGTCTTGTTCTCCTGCGTAGTAAATTTAATCTAAATTTTCACATGGGATTCTTCCTGGATGACCAACTCTGGACTACCAGAAAAAAAAAAAAATTAAGTTCTGTGACTTTTCTGGGAAACAAGAACAAAAGAAGACTTAATCCTCATCTTTCTCAAGAAAAATAAGTAGATGTTGAAAAAGAATCACTTAGCGATTCTGACGTATCAGTTCCAATACCTTGAAATGAGGTCATTGCACGTAAATAATTGAATTGCATCACTCCTAATTCCAAGTAGATTTTCTATAAGTAAATATCTATGAATTTGTGTGCTTATTTTCTGAATATGCAATGTTTTCTTTAAAGATTTTTTTGAAATTTTGCCTGTTTGTGTAAAGTAAAGTGTTTTAGTGTGCATTATAGGTATAGTAATTTGGAGCATCTTCTTTCTATCCCTGTTAGTAAAGGGGCTGGAGATTTAATTCTTAAAACCAAAATATTGAATTAATTTTGCAAGCATGGCTAGTTTTTCTGGAAGCATGTTATAAAAAAATAAGGAACATTGATTGAAAAATCCAACTGTTTCCTATATACATAAAGAATATTCTGTAAAATTATCTGTTGTTTGACAGTGATATCAATATTTTGCTATCAAAATAGTGCAACACTAGTATCTGTCTTTTGTATAAAAATGTTATCTTCATATACATAATACCTCTAATCTTTGCAATTACATAATGGTTCAGTAATTTAAAAAAATTAATATCAGAATCTTTAACCTGAAAGTGTTCATTGTATTTGCTTTTGTCGAAAATGGTAGCCTGGAACCTGTGACATCTCTACCACCTCATTCCTTTTGGGGGGGGGGAAATATGGTTCATTGTAGATGAACAAGATATTAGAATCTACATGTAATAATCCCCCAGATTCCATTGAAAACTTCCAATATAGATGGAATTGGTTAGACATTGTAATGTGTGCAAGACAGATATCTATACACAGAAAAAGGCTGAGAGTGGGTGGCACTGGAGATCATTCTGATTGAATTGATATGGTATTCTGTTCTCCCATTTGACTTTCCTTTGTATATGTTGTTATTTATCGGTTGCTACAATGTAATGATATATGCTATTGTTAAATAAAATTGATTGGTCAATTCATTTATTCATTCCTTCATAAATATTTCTTAAGCGTCTACTCTGGGTTAGGCACAGTTAGAAGTCTGGAGATCTGTAAGAGAACAAAAGAGACCAAGTCTTGCATTCAGAAAATATATGCTAGTGAGAGAAATCAGACAAGAGACATCATAAATGTTGCACAGCATTCTTAAATAAAATGTAGCTTTAGTGGGTTGCAACTGTTGAACTTGATTTTTTGTGTTGTACATCTATAATGTGATGTTCACTTTAATGTCTAATTTATTCTACCTGAATAGTCTTACTGAATTTAACGTAGATAAATTTGAACAAAAAGTAAAATTATCAATACCATCCAATGAAAATGATAACTACAAAGTGGAAAGGTCTAAGGTTTTGGACTCAGATGTTCATCATTTTTTTATCTTTAATCTTGGTGACTAAAAATTTTATAAAATTTGTAAAAATTTATCAGCATCCTATCATACAGATTTAACTTCTTACATTTAAAATAGTAATTTCTGCAAACCACCTGAGGGAGCCAAATACATGCCATGTGGCTGGACTAGGGCAGCGATTGAGGAGGGCGGTTCGCAGTGCACTCTGGGAAGGAGCCTGTCTTCTTTGTTTGGATGCTGAACTCTCTGGAAAAGGAGGAATGGTTCAGTGATAGTTCAGCCAAACCCAGTTTTCCCACAGTCTTTGCTCCTGCAGCCCAATGATGCTTATGCTGCATTATTCAACTAAGAAAGTATTTCTTATCATCTTATAAACATACCGACCCTTTAGGCATAAATCCAAATGCCTTTCCCACAGTGTCAGAATTATGTTACAAACCTAAAAGCTATTTTTTACGTATCACACTTGATCTTGCTCGACGTTAGATTTTATATTTCTTAGATGTTTCAAACTTTATCTTCTCCATGCACAGTTTTGCTGATGCACTCTAAATAGACACATGGGGGGCATAGAACAATCTGTGCTATGCAGGTGGTGGCAAAAGGACGTTTACAGTGGAGAGCATGCAAAAACAGTTTATTCATGTGCTGTTATTTGTTAATCATTGCATAATTTTCCGTGTGAACAACTGTAAACCTACTTTTTCCCCTCACCCCAGATGTAAAGAAAATACAGATATGTTTATTTTCTTCCCTGTCCCAAATATTAATATCCCCATATGCATACACCTACCTCCAAAGGGATTATGTCAATTCATTTCTAAATAAAGTATTTTAAATAAACTTCAAATTGTGCAGCCATTAAATGAGTTCATTTTTTCCCCTGAATTGAATAACACTTTAATTTCCATTTTTAAAAATGCTACCCAAGGAATAAATAATCTACATCTATTAAAATTCTCTGGAGAAAAGCAAATATCCACATAGCAAGTAGCTTCGGTGGACACTCTTGGTTTTATGAACTTTTCCATTGTAATTCTAATTATTATATTTGTGATGCTTAGAAACTCTAAAGCCTTTCTAATGGGCATCTATTTCAATAGTTTCGCTTTTGCTAAAAACAAATAATGCAAAAAAAAATGTTTCTCCATAGGAAAATGATACTTCATTGATTGAAAACCATCTCGATTCATTCATTCCAGTATTTTCTTAACCAAGCCCTAACGTAACACCTTTATGCAGATTGGTCTCTTTCCTGAAATAGCAGAGTAAAGCACTAACCATTATGGAAATTGTAGTAATAGACTCATAATTACTAAGAAGTAATGCTTTTAAAATAATCCAGAGAGTTATTGTCCCAGAGGGCACAGGAGTCGATAATAAAGATGGAAGGTTACACAGGTACTCCTAAAAGAAAGAGGTTATATCCCACTTCTCTGATCACTCGGCTTTATTCACAACAGAGCACCTGAAACTCCATACGCTGCTTATCAAAGACGCCCCACAAATCCCCTTAATGATTCGGTTGAACTCATTTTTTTTATTATATTGAAAAGATTTCGTATTTTTCTTCACCCATAGCAGCCCCAAAACTTGTATTAAATCTCCCCAAGTATGCAGTGTATGCAGGGCTCCCTGCGGACAAATGTTCAGAGTGAGGCTGGGGCAAGAGCAGGTTGAGAGAGTGTTGAGAATCCCTGTTCATTTTTAAAAGGAAAAATGAGAACCACTCGAAGGAATTGGGTAGAGCTGAGAGCTTCTGTTTAAGGAAAGCCTCGCCTTTCCCTCCTTTGTCCGCCCATCTCCCTGAGAAACTTCTATCTCTCCTGTGCTGCCTGTGTCACTCCCCTGAATCTCAACTGCTGCGCAAGTCCTGGGTATGCAAAAGCCTCGCTAAATTCCTAATCAACCTCTTCAGCAAACGGAAGGCTTTTCCAGCCTTTATTGGTTTGTCTGACAAGAAACAAAGACATGATGGGCCCCTATTGTCAAAAGAAAATTTGGGAGGGCTGGGGAATTGAAAGAAGACACTAAATAATTTTTAAAATTATATGTACATACACCTTTTTTAGAAGAGATGACCTAGCACTTGTTAGAATTTACTTTCTTTTGAAGGCACCTGAATCACAGTTTCTGCTACTTTGCCATGCTATTCCTATTTAAGAAGCCCAGACAGACCAGGAAATCCTTATATTTATTAAAGGCCATATATATATATATATATACACATACATACATACACTATGGGGAGACATGGAGAGTATTTTTTACTGGAGATTTCATATAAAGAATTTCATTCTCTAAAAATACAGAAATGCACTTCTTTAATCTTGTCCCTTTTTTTCTTGTTAAAGCATATGAAATCTCAATGAGTTGAATGTATTTTGACAGATGCAACAATACCTTCAAATACTTTAAGATATTTCAAATTATAGGTTCAACTCCCACTTCTGCTAGTTCTGTGAAACTGAATAATTTAATTAACCTCCTTGAGCCTTAATTGTTCCATCTGCAAAATGGGAAATGCCTACCTCAAAATGTCAATGTGAAAAGTAAATGAAAGAGCACAATTAAAGAAGTTAGCATTGTACTGACACAAAGTAAGCACTAAATAAGAGTTATTTTTAATACTATATATAACTATATATACATATATAGTTATATATAGTTAATATACATATAAGTAAGAACTAAGAGTACAAAAATAAATAAAACATGTCCCTTGTCCTCTTGTGATTAATGTTAAGTTCTTTAAAATAAGGTAAAGGAGTGAGAGTGCTAAAGGGCAATAATAAGAGTACAGTTGGTACTTAATAAATGTTGAGTAAATAATAAAAGTACAGCTTTTAATGAAGCAACAATTCACAAAATAATGGAGGAAGAATTTAGCAAATTAGATGGTAATACTAATTAGGGAAACTTCTATACACAAGTTAAAATTAAACATATATATATATTCATGTGTTCAAATATTCCAGACACTTGAGAATAGATTTTCATAGTACCAAAGGTGAGCATTAGCTACACCTCAGCTATAGATGATAGCTGCATACCCATTTCCATGAGAATATTAAGCATTTTACAATGTGAGATTCTTGCTTTTTTCTACACATTCTCCCATATTTTAATCAACTATTATAATAAAAAAGAGAAAAATGAAAAAAATTAGCTCATTTTAACTACTATTTTATAGCATATCTTAGAAATCAATAGTGCTTTGCAACAAATCCCAGATTTTCATAACCACATTTATATTGTAAACCTTTATATTTAGAGAATGTTTTCTATAAACTAATAATTTTCAGCTACCTAAAGAACAGACAATTAGTTTCCTTAATTTTATAGATAGATAAACTTTTCTTAAAGCATTATACTTAGAGATGTTTTCCATAAACTAATAATTTTTATCTATAGAAAGAAAAGGCGCCAAAACCGGTTCGGCTCAGTGGATAGAGCATCAGCCTGTGGACTGAAGGGTCCTGGGTTCTATTCCGGTCAAGGGCATGTACCTTGGTTGCTGGCACATCCCCAGTAGGGGGTGTGCAGGAGGCAGCTGATCGATGTCTCTCTCTAATCAATGTTTCTAATTCTCTATCTCTCTCTCTATTCTTCTCTGTAAAAAATCAATAAAATATATATATATTTTTTTTAAAGAAAGAAAAAAAAGGCAATTAGTTGTCTTAATTTTATAAGGCAACTAAAGATGGATAAACTTGACCTGGCCGGTTTTTGCTCAGTAGATAGAGCATCAGCCTGCATACTGAAGGGTCCCAGTTCAATTTGAGTCAAGGTCACATGCCCGGGTTACTGGCTCAATCCCTAGTGGAGGGGATGGTTCTCATCACTGATGTTTCTCTCTCTCTCTCTCTCTCCTCCCTCTCTCTCTCTCTCTCTCTCTCTCTCTCTCTCTCTCTCTCTCTCTCTCTGTCTCTTCTCTCTCTCTCTCTCCTCCCTTCTCTCTCTCTCTCTCTCTCTCTCTCTCTCTCTCTCTCTCTCTCTCTCTCTCTCTTTCTCTCTTTATTTCTCTCTCTTTCTCCTCTCCCTTCCCCTCTGAAATCAATAAAAATATATTTTTTTAAAAATAAAATAAAGATGGATAAACTTTCAAGTGTTAAAATATTTATCAAATTCAAAGGACAAGAGTCTTCTGGGTCCCTTAGACATGGCAACCTAAGGCAGAATTTAAGAAAGGAACACAAGCACCAGTCCTGGACAGTGGCCCAGGATAGTGATGTTCAGGGCATCTTTATGAGAAACTCAAAGAGCTTTTAGTTTGCATTCTTAATCAAGTTTTTAAAAGTAGTTTTTACACTTACAAAGTACTTAGAAAAACAATTATCATAGAACTGCCATGTTGTACAAAGTAAATTACATTCTAAATCACAGTTCCAAGAGCTAATTAAACTTCCACATTTACAAATTTGCCAAGATAAAAGATTTGTATCAGAATTACTAAACGAATGTTACCATGCAATTTTATAAAATATAAACACATGATCTCAATGATTTTGTGGCCCAAAGTGATCATTGCTTGTCTGAAAATAATTCAAATTTCTGAGGTGTGGCCAGTTCATTGTGGATTGCACATTTGCCAGGGCTATCTTTTAGTTGGTGGCTTTAGTTTCCATTTATAAGATCAATGCATTTTTGCTAACATATCTTTTAGTTCACATCCTTTAAATAGTTTGAATTTGGTGTGTGTGTGTGTGTGTGTGTGTGTGTGTGTGTGTGTGCGCGCGCGCGTGCACATATGTGCTTTACCTGAAAACTGTGCAGTTATTATTAGCCACCAGTAAAGTTTTTCATTTTTTCATTTTATATAATTCTTCATCATATTGTCTGTCTTATTTGCTTCAAATTTATAGTCAAAATTGGAGAAAAATTGTTGGCTCCCATTGGAGACATAAAATAGAATAAAAATTCATGGAACCAATTCTAAATAAATCTAAAATATTGGACAATTTTAAGGAAGCTAATTTAATGCAAATAAGTATATACAGTTTTTTAAACTATTAATTCATTTTTATTTCATCTTGCAAGTACTTGCTCTGAGAAGGCATATTGCTAAATGCTAGAGAGCAAAGGAAAATGATCTATCAATAGCTCTTTTCCTAAAGGAAGTCACAATTGACTGTCTAAACAAGATGCGGAATATGGAGACAGGTGACTTTAAATGAGTCTTTTACTACATGAGACAGACTACTAAATAGTCTTTAACTTCATATAATAATTTGAAACTAATAATTTCATTGCCAAAGGTGATAACTTTGCTTCTCTAGATGATTATTAGTGAACATTTTTTTCATCAGTTACAGTGCTAAGTATGTAATGATTACTCAATAGAAAATTATTTTAAAGTCTTCGCATTTAATATCTAGTATAAAGAGAGTTAATGTACTTCTAAGCGTATTTATATTTGTGTTTATATATTTTACTACTGATTTCTAGCCACGCAAAATCAGTGTTTGTATAATACTAAATATAATATATTTGTCAAATTCTGAAACTGGAGAATTACAAAGAGATTTTTGAATGTTTATAATTTCTCCTTTACAGTTCTACTTCTCTCATTATAGGAATCCCCATATGTTATGTTCAAGAAAAATCACGAAATGTTTGAAGGAAATGACAAGTATGAAGGATATTGTGTAGACTTGGCATCTGAAATTGCAAAACATATTGGTATCAAGTATAAAATTGCCATTGTCCCTGATGGAAAATATGGAGCAAGGGACGCAGACACAAAAATCTGGAATGGGATGGTAGGAGAACTTGTTTATGGGGTAAGCAAATCAATTATTTACATAAACCTGAAACTTTCTTTTTCACTTGGGCACATATCAATTTTTAAATGTCTATTACTGTGTTTTTTATTTGCAGTTACATTCAAAGAGACATATATGGTGTTCAACTGTTTCTCTATTTCATGAATAATGCAATTCCCAAACAATGAAACTAACGCATAACTTCAAAATAAGGAAAAAAAGATAAAAATTCAGAATATGGTGTCCTATTTTAAAAAAACAACACTAACTTCAGTATCTATCATGATTATTCTTTCATATTTGATTCTTCTATCCCATAGACATGTTGTTTTGAGAACTACAAAACGAATCCATTAGTAATTGTAGCAACAGATTTTCTTCAATAGCATAAAGCTGAACCTCATTTTAGCTAGTTTATTTATATCCCTATTGGTTGTAATTCTGGTAAATGTCTTTTAAGTAATTCAAGTGATCACTAAACTATTTTAACATCTATAAAATATTCACCAATAATGTGAGGTCCTTACAATTCTGAACACAGTAAATTTAAGCTCCATGCAATGCCACAATTTTTTCCCACCTAGCAAAGCACAAAAGCTAGAATTTATTCCACAGCTGGCCTCACAGGAAAGCATGTCATGCCCTTTCTCTTCTGTTCACCAGATATTGCGTGTACACATTTATAGCCAAAGGCAAATTCCATGTACACACTCCTGCCTGCATCAGATCAAGTATCTAAATCAAACAAGCAGTTATCAGATGTTAGTGATGGTATGGTATTTCCAAAGTCCAGAAACCCAGCCTGAAATAGTATATTTTATTCGTCAAATAGTGAATAAAAGTCACATGCAATTTATTTGGAAATTTCCTATAAGCCAATTCACAGATCACAAATGTCACCTTCACATCACAGTCTGTCTGATTAATCTTCTCAAGGCAACTTTGAAATGAAGGGTTTTATGAAAGTCTTTCTTCCCCAGAAAAGACTAAAAGGTAAAACGATTGAGAACATAAATGAAGTCGTATGCCAGGGCTTACTTTCCAAACTGTCATCCAACTCTTGTGATTCTGCATCTTGCTATTCAAACCATGAAGCAATGACCATTCTCCATACAGTCTAGTCCAGTGGTCGGCAAACTCATTAGTCAACAGAGCCAAATATCAACAGCACAAAGATTAAAATTTCTTTTGAGAGTCAAATTTTTTTAACTTAAACTTCTACTAATGCCACTTCTTCAAAATAAACTCACCCAGGCTGTGGTGTTTTGTGGAAGTGCCACACACAAGGGGCCAAAGATCTGCATGTGGCTCGCAAGCCTCAGTTTTTCGATCAGGGGTCTAGTCTAGTAGCTATAATCTCAACAGCAAGAGGAAAATGTTTGGCTTTAAAGAGTAATCAGTTATTTTATATTTATTTGCAAGAACTACTCACTAGTAAGGTGACTTAAGCAGGGTGATTGGGGGTAGGGAATGAAGTTGTAAAAAATCAAAAAGGATTTTATCCCAAGGCTCATGATCATTTTGATATTGAGCTTTAAATAAAGGAAAGGTGTTTCTAACACGTGTGCTTCTTGGTAATATTTTAAATGTTTGACACAATAAGCCAATTTTAAATGTGAACATTATCCAGATTATTAGAATTCTCTACTGTAATTTATTTTCTTCAGAAAATAGTATTGAGTATTTCTCTTCAAAAAATTAGATTACCAATTAGTTACTGATGAGTTACTTTCTAAGGGATTTTATATACATCCTCCGGAGTCCCTACCCATTGGGCAGTCCAGGCTCGCCTCTTGCAAGGGCTCTGACCACATTTTATTGTGGGGATATTTTTTAAATAATGAAAACAAATGATATGAGGAGAGTAGCACAATTAAAAATAAAACCAGTGCTATACATGTCACAATAATCAAAAGTCTGAAGTCAGTCCATTCTCAGAGAGAAAGATTGTAGCAGTGATTAATATTCATTATAGCCATTCATTCATCAGCCAATCTGAGAGGATTTAAATATCCCTCTCTGCCACTTCAGGTATCCACTGTTTTCTCAAAAGAAATCTTCTTCTGTGCCTCTTATGCTTTCTACAGATTTGGTATTTTCCATTCTGGTGTCTGCTAAGTCTGTACTTATTTATCATCTCTTTTCTTTCTTCTTTTTTTACTGCTAACACTTACATGAATGCCCAGTTCCCAGGGTTTTAGGTAAAACACCATCCATTCTCTTCTTTGAACCCATCATTATTATTATTATTATTATTATTATTATTATTATTTTATTCCTTGCTCACTTTGTTGCTGTAATTGTTAGAAGAGATTACGTGTGAAACACTCACCTGTGACCTCCGCACACCACAGGGCAGTGACTCAGAAGCTCAGAACCTCCCTCCCACTTTCAGGTCCTTCCTGCCCGTCACACCTGGTCAGGTCCAGTCTATGATTTCAGTGCGCTGCTTCTGGACTCCCTGTTCCCTGCCACGGAGTTTTAATCCAAGGGGATATTTCTCAAAGTGGGTTCCATAGCCTACCATGTGTCAAAATACTGGCTCATGAATCTCACTCCAGAGATCCTTCAGAATTCAAATATTATCAAGCTCTCACAGGAGATAGTTGACACTCAGTTTTGGGACTCGCTGAGAGGGGATGGAACCAGGCACGCCCAGCACCTCCAATGTTAGTAGAGAAAGCCCCAATGCATCTTCTCTGTTCACTGGCCCCTTTCAAAACACCAATTTCAGACTTTGAAAGTGTCCTCACTGAACATCGCTGTCACCACTTTAATCTAATGTTTGTCTTTCTTTGCCTCTACTTTTCTATGCTGGAGACTCTTATTTCTCTCCATATTTCTTTTCTTTTAAGGTTTGTACCCTCATTAGTAGTAGCGCATAAATAAAGGTTTTCCAAAAGATACTACACAGCAATATAGTACATAAAAAGTGGTATTTCAAATCAATGAGAGGATGTATTATTCATTTATTCCTATTAAGATCACTGAACAATTACTTGGAAAATTAACCATTTTCTAACACATCATCATGTAGTGTACCAAATAAGTTTTAGAGAAATTATCCTTATAGATGCTAGATTAAAATATGTATGGTTAAAAAGTAAAAATAAAAATAGGTTAAGGAGAGGTCAATGGAGAGAAAAGAAGATGTATGTAAAATTTTCAACAATAAAGAATTAAAATAAATAAATAAAAATATGTAATTGGGATTAATTATATGATATGAGCTATGAAATCAAAGGCTGAAAACACAAAAATGATCATTTTATATGTCTTCAACAAAATTTAAAATGTGTATTGCAATAAAATACCATGAACTAAGTCATCAATTTTCAACCAGTGTGCTACAAGAATTCTAAAAGCATACAATACTCTACCTGATTAGTCAAGAGCACTGACCTCTTTTCCCTTAGATTGTCAAGTAAAAAAAAAATGACAACAGCCAAAATAATAGCCATGCAGTATAAATCAATAAAGATTATACCTATTTTTGTTTGTCAGATCAGCAAAAATATATTTTAGGTGTGACACAGAATTTTAGTAATTAGTTTATGTGTGCTATGAGATAAGAAAAAGGTTGAAAATCATTTATGGAAACAAAACAATTTATGAATAGGGAAAATATTTGCAATACATGGGAAATAGAATATTTTGAATAGATTTAAAAGCATTTACAATTAGTAAGTAAAAGAATGAATACCCCATGTAGAAATTAAGGACAGATTAAGAAGTACAAGTGACTATTTAATAAAAGCAAATTGAAATGAACACAATGTGATCTAATTTGCCAGCTAGCAAATTAGTGAAGATAAATGAGAATAAAGATACACAAGAGTTGTCCAAGATTTTAAGCTGCAGGTGCATTCACACAGTGCTGGGGAAAGTAGAAATTTTGCATAATCTTCTGTGAGAAAAGTTGGGCAAACATATTATGAGTATTGAAAGATTGTTCCCCATTTAGACTAGCATCACATTTCTAGAAGTTTATCTTAAATAATTAAGATATGTGCAAGAATTTGTCTTCAAGGAAATTCACATAATTTGTGTTATAAATTGTATAAAACTGAAAACAATGCAAATATCCCACAAAATAATAAATTGAGCAAATTGTGATTATTCACATAATGAAATATTTGCAATCATTAAAACTTATTTTTAATGTATATTTTGAAATGACAATGAGTTCATATTGTTTTGAGGAGATGAAATTAATTATACATTTTATTATTATCCCATTTTTAAATAAGAAAAATATTATTTATAAAACAATGTCTAACAAGGCATACATAAAGAAAAAATAAGAGTAGGTGAAGGGAACCGAGATATATTTTCTTCATTTTTCTAGTTTTGTTTTCATATACTGTTTCTATAGCTAGTTCATCTATCACTTGTGTAAAATAACTTGGTAAAACAGTAACCTCCCAGCAATGACTCTGGCTCTTACATATATGGATGTGTACGATGTGAAGGCATGTGCAGCGAATCCTCAGCCACCAGGGGCATGGGGGATAGCAGGATGGCCAGAGTGCACTCCCCAGACCAGCTCTCTAGGAGCCCTCTGGCCAGCTGCTAGCCATCACAGGGTTGAATGTCAGAGTGGCTGCCTCTATGAAAAACATGTATGTTTGGGTATGTCACATTTCAATGCCAAATACTTTCCTTTTGAAATAAATAATAAAAATACATTTTTTCACTTGTAGATCATGTAACAATTTACAGCATTTTCATCACACTCCACTTCATGTGATGTTAGAGATAGCATGATTTAATGGAAGAAGCACAAGGTCAAATTGCAGAGTGGCTGTGATGTGTAAAGCTCACCTGAGTCTCAGTTTGAGCAACTATAAAACAGTGATAAACATAAGGTTGATATGAGGGTGAAATGGGCAGCCATTTAAATATTTAGTTTTGCATCGGACACATACTCCCTCAATAAACACTCAATGTTATTTTATTAAGGTTTTTTAAATAAACAACCACAATAACACAATGAGATAAAAGAGAAAATGGGGATCAGTTTCCAATTTTTAGAGATATTGGAAAAAGACCCCCAAAATAGCTAAAATTGCTGAATAAAATTAATGGGAGCTAGTGTCTTATGATCATAATATCTGAGAACTGAATCCACTGTTTTCAAGTATCTTTTTTAGAACCTGAAGGTGAAAAATCAAGGTGTGTAAATAAGAAGAAACAAATGCCAATTTCCAGATTTTTGTGTGTGTGCTTAATTGGAAAATATAGTCAAACAATGGGTTTCTTCTATCTTACAAACACAGACTTTACGATAGGTTTTTCTCATAATTGAAAAAGAATTACAAAGAAAGACTATTTAAAAATGTGCATTGCATAATATTAAAGGGTGGCCAAGTAATGAATCAGTGGCAACATTTCAAATAGAACAGAAAAGATTGCAATATAGCATGCCTGGCCAAGAAATTCAGAAATTTGGCCATATCGAAAGGCTGTCTCCTCCTCTTGCTGTCCTAGACCCTTAAAGACTAATATGGTTATCTGAGAGAAAGTTATTTTTGCTTATATCTACTATTTCTCCATTGTTTTCAGTTATCTAATTACTAGCACTGATAAAAATAGTAATTTGTGCAATTTAAGTGACACATCTATATATATAAAAGCCTAAGCGACCGTTATAATGAGATGACCAGACTACCAGATGACCTACCGATAGCTATGGCATGCACTGACCATCAGGGGGCAGACATTCAATTCAGGAGCTGCCCTCTGGTGGTCAGTGCACTCCCATAGCCAACCTCCTGTGGCCAGACAACCTCCCCCATCCCTCCCCCTGGCCAGTCCCGATTGGTCCCGATCAACAACCAGGCTGAGGGACCCCACTCGTGCATGAATTTATGTACTTATGAAAGAAAACAAGTCAGCTGTTCACTTTTGCATTTATCATTGTTGGCTTTGGGAAAAGAAATTGTTCAGCTAATGTGTAACTGGTTAGCTGTGAGTGGATCAGTCCAGTGCTAATTGCTTCAATGAAGAGCATTAACCTGTGTGTTTCCATGTGTCTTTTCTCTTATAGAAAGCAGAGATTGCTATTGCCCCTCTGACAATCACTCTGGTCCGAGAGGAGGTCATTGACTTCTCTAAGCCCTTCATGAGTTTGGGCATATCTATCATGATCAAAAAGCCTCAGAAATCTAAACCGGGAGTGTTTTCCTTCTTGGATCCTCTGGCCTATGAGATCTGGATGTGCATAGTCTTTGCCTACATTGGTGTCAGCGTGGTCTTGTTCCTAGTGAGTAGGTTTAGCCCATATGAATGGCACACAGAAGAGCCAGAGGATGGAAAGGAAGGACCCAGCGACCAGCCTCCCAATGAGTTTGGCATCTTTAACAGCCTCTGGTTCTCCCTGGGTGCTTTTATGCAGCAAGGATGTGACATTTCACCCAGGTTAGTTCCAACAGTTTCTCACCAATTCCCCAGTATTGCTAAGTATTGTGCAAATCATCTCTCTACATGTTTTTTTCCCAGAAGGCAGAGCTTTACTTGAAGCTCAGAAAAAAAAACCTTGCAATTTCCAAATTAATCTGAACACATTCAGAGCCAAATTTTCCAAGAGAGCATAATATATGGATACATCCCATTGGAAATTGAACATATGCAACTCACCAGAATTCTCAAAAAATTAGTATAAATATTTCCTTCAATATTTTGACAGACAGAATCTAAATTGGAAAAATGGGATTCATTTTCTTTTTGTCTCCTTTTCAAAATAAAATGTTTTTGTTACTGTTGCTGGTCTTAATTTTTAAAAAAATCATTTTGAATTTTATTTATATCCCATGTATCTGTTGTGGCATTACCTAAATCCTGAGTCAATGTAATAGGCACTACATATGCATTGTTCTGTATGACAATAAATGACAAGCTAAGCAGTAGGCAGCCTAACCAATGCAAACACTACGTAGCTTTATAGAGATGTTTTTTCACTATCTGTGGAGTCATAGTTCACTCTCTGTGGATGCCACTGAGATGTTTTTCATTTGTTTGCCAAAAATGCAGCCAATCTCCTGTGCATAAACAAGTACCAATTTTGCCCTTGGAAAAAGTAGCTGAAGGCAGGAAAAACTGAAAATTAAATTTAAAATAGTGACTTATATCAGTGTTGCAAGTATATGGATTTTTTTTTAAAGAATCGTATGCATTCTCAAAAAGAAACAATTTAGCCACAGGACAGTTTGTGTCCTTAAGACCCGAGGAAATGGACCTGGAGAGCATTGTGCTGAGTGAAAGAAGCCAGTCAGAGAAAGATGGATATCACGTGATCTCACTCATTTGTGGAATATAATGAACAACTTAAACTGATAGAACAGACTGTCACTCCTCAGAGGGAAGGCAGGGGAAGGAAGGAGTGATGTCAGAGATCAAGCAAAGGACTTGTATACATGCATATAAGCATAACCAATGGACATAGACAATAGCGGGAGGTGAGGGGGAGGGTATGTGTTGCTGCTTTATGTGCCACTAAGAGAAAAACAATGGTGTCAACTAAGCCATGATACTGTGTTTTATCTCAGTTAATGTAGGTTGCATCTAATATCAAATATGCTAAATATTAAAGGGGGGGGTAATCAATGAATAAGTAAGTGTTCCTCTTTTGTACCTGAAGGAAAGGCATTAACTTCCATAATTCTGCCCAGTAGCAATAAAAAAAAAAAGTTCCCATGTTTTCAGTGGCATTTATACAGCTCATATAGCATAGGCAACATCCAAGTAGAATCATTCTTGAGTAGATTATCAGAAAACAAAATGATATTGCAATTGTTATTTTTAACCACACATGGTAAATTGATGGTGTTTCTTCTCTTTCTCTCTGTTGGTTAGAGACAGGAAAATGTGCCTTATCTTATCCATGTTTAGATCCCTCTCAGGTCGAATTGTTGGAGGTGTTTGGTGGTTCTTTACACTCATCATTATATCATCTTACACTGCTAACCTCGCTGCTTTCCTGACCGTGGAGCGCATGGTCTCCCCCATAGAGAGTGCGGAAGATCTGGCCAAGCAAACAGAAATTGCCTACGGAACGCTGGATTCAGGGTCAACAAAAGAATTCTTCCGAGTAAGTTCAGGGAAAAAACTAACAATGAAATGTTCATCATTTTTAAATTCAGGCAATTTTGCCAACAATGATGCTGTGGGCTCTAGCCCCTGTAGGCTTTGCAAGCACTGTTGTAACTGCTATGTTTAACGCTACTACTTCTATGTGGATTCTATAATCATTTTAGCTTTCAAAAACTAATTCATTTATTTGCATTGCAAGAGGGACCCTCTCTAAGCAAGAGTAACAACAAAAAGGTAATTACAACAACTTAATAACATAATCTATCTTGAAAATTACAGTGCTGATCATGCTATGATACTGCACCTGGCAAATTTGTATTTATGTGTGCATGCTTGGGGGCTAAGAGCATAAAAATGAAAGCGAGAGTGTTGTTTTTCAAAAAAAAAAAATAATAATGCATTTAACTTTTTGCATTTGAAACTCAAAACCTTAATTGCAGGTTATCTTCCCTACAGGAGATACATTATTCTATAATCTCTTTTGTAGTGCTGGATTTCAAAGCAATATATTTGTTTTCTCACAAGATAATGGTAGCAAAAACTATTAAGTTTTGAACATCTCTGTGAGACGTTGTAAGGCCTTTTGTTCAAATAAAGTTGTTCAAAGTGACATAATTGCATTTTACATATGAATATGATCCCTTTGGCTTGTCTTTAGGATGGTAGGTATATTTGTTGTTTTGCTGTTTTAGTTGCTTCCTTCATGAGGATGATTTTTTTTTTTTTTTTTTTTAATCAGTGACCCTCCTTTACTCTGGTTCTACTTAAACCCAGAGATACAGGATTGGTAAGGTCTGATCAGAGTTCAGGGTTCATTTTGTGACTTCAGAACGAAAGTATATAACTACATAGTAATGAAGGCATCTTGTTTTACTTTCAATTGCTTAAAGAAGACAAGATATAGTTCACTTATTTCTTAAGCTTTTGTGGAAAAAAATGAAAGCCCTTTAAAATATGTACACATGTAATACCTTAATCAATAAAATAAAAAATAAAAACAAACAAAAAAGAAAGTTTCTTGCTTATATACAGTTGTTGAGAGATTACACTTTGATTTTTAATGCATATATTTTTGTTTTCTCATTCCACTTGGGAATTAAATACAACAAAATGTTCTACTCCTTGAGAAAGACTTAACTTCATGTACATGAAATTCTATTTCATGTACATGAAATTTTATTTCATGTACTTGAAATTAAAAAAAAAAGCTATTTCTCTTTTTATTTATTTATTTTATTAGATGTTTTAATCCTCACTGGAGAATATTTTTTCCCATTGATTTTTACAGAGAGTGGAAGGGAGAGGGAGAGACAGAGAGAAACACTAATGTGAGAGAGATACATTGATTGATTGCCTCCTGAATGGACTGGGAGCGTGTAACAGAAGTATGTGCCCTAGTCAGGAATTGAACATGGGACCCTTCAGTCTTCAGACTGATTCTTTATCCATTGAGCCAAACTGACTAAGGCTATTTTTCTTTTTAAAAATTATTTCATTATGCCCAGCCAATGTGCCCCAATAGTTGAGCGTTGACCTATGACACAGAAGGTCATGGTTTGATTCCAAGTCAGGGCATATGCATGACTTACAGGCTGGGTCCCCAGTAAGAGTGCAGAAGGCTGCCAATTGATAATTCTCTCTCATTAGTGACGTTTCTACTTCTCTCTCTCCTTTCCTCTCTAAAATCAATAAAACTATACTATACTTCGATTATAATATTCTGTTACATTACAGATGTTTACATTAATACTAAATCAAAACAAATCACTCAAAAACTCAGTCAAGCCCATCTCTGGGCATTGTTTAAAAAAGACACCACACACTGAATAACATCCTTGTCAACAATGTGGAGTGTTGCTAGTAGAGATAATATAAAATGTATAAGTTAATTAAAAAGTAGTAGTGGATTTTTCTAAAATTATAAATCATAGTCATGACAATAAGTATCATAAACAACTGTTTAATTACTGAGTATATTCCAGTCTATAAAGCTTAATAATGAGATCATATTGTTCTAACATATTTTAGCACAACCTCTGTGCTTACCTGGAAATTTGTGTTTATAACTGCTTCCACCCAAAGTAGATAGGTAAAATTTAGTAACTTTGCCTAGAAACCATTATCTGTATTTATCAAAACAGAGTACAAGTTTATGCTATACGTTGCATTTTACTGGAAAAAAATGATGGCTGATGTGTATGTAAATATTTGCAAATTCATCATTCTGCCTTGAGTGACAAGGGAAAAAGAAACATCACGTTGATTCCTTGAAAACATTTCAAAAATAACTCACTGTAAAGAACTTTTCCAACAAGCACCCTGAACATGTTTATTTCTAATTTTTATAGGGCTTTGCAAAGCTGCTCAAGTTCTGCCACCTGGTGAGGTAGATAACAGAAAGTACTGATAAGAAATAAAGGAATAAGGCTAGTGCTCGCCAGCCTGCACAGCCTTTCATTCAAACCCTGTGACCTTCCTCCCCCCACCCCCCGCCCCCCAACTTCAGTTCTTAAATTGAGAGAGTTCTATAAGTGTAGGTATTTATTGTTGCAGAACTGTCTGAACCTAATGGGGCCAGCGATATAATGTTCCTTCAAGGCACTTTCAGGAATGCATAAATTTGGGCTCCCATAAAAATCTCATTCATTTTCCTCCCCGTGTTCTCCCTCCTTTCCCATAGAGGATGACCTGGTTTAAAGAAACCATTTGTCTCACAGGTGGAGTAAACAGAATGTGAAGGGTATTTTTGTGCTTGTCAAAATGTGTTCTCCTAGGAGCACGGTAACGATACATCTATCAGCTCCACTCCACTGCCTCGGGCGCTGACCTGTACTCTGCGCTTCAGAAATGTCGTACGTAGTTATAACCAACTGCGAAGAGAATGAGGCCACGGGGGGAAATTACATTGGAATTCAACTCTCTCCTTTTTTGGCCCATTATGAAACTTACATGATCATGTTCAGGACATCCTTGTTAAGCATAAGCATGGAGGTATTTAAAGAAAGTCTGTTACTTGACAATGACAGTCTTGCTGTTTAGGTATTTTTACATTAATCTATACCTTATTTGAACACACTGATTCTCATTTCCATGTAGATTTTATCCTGTGCCTATTTCAGTCATCAGTAAAATCATGATTGCATAAATGAGGTGGATTACTACCTTAGGGCTGATAATATTATCAAATAGTGCCTTAATGAGCTCTTAGTCTTGCTGCACAAGCTACGAGAAATAAAAATAATTCACCTGATAACCATGTGAATATTTACTGTAATGAGTGACATTTGTACCTACTGGTATTTTCCATTAAAGGCAAAAATAAAATAATACTTAACTAATGAAAAATTTAAAAGACAGACATTAAAAACTTGTTTTTAAGTAATGAAATAGTGCTTTATATCAGATAGTTTTCCATGCATTGAGTTTAACAATAAAGGTTAAATAAGTCTGAGATTAATTTTTTAATTTCAAAAAGTAAGACTTTTATATTAACATTGCTTATTACCTTGAGTCTATCCACTCCCCAAACCTGATCTTTAAATAACACAGTTGAAGGTTTTAGGGACTTGAAAAGTCCATTGTCACTATATTTCTAAGTTTGCTGGGTCTGTAGAAATGACCTCGTTTTAGCCTGTCTCATCAAATTTATAAAGATATGCTTGCCCTCACTTTTTAGCAAACACCCTCTTGTGGTCACAGATAAGGAAAGGGGATTTATTTTCAGCCCTTCACTTCTGAGTCTCTCCACCCATTCCTTCACCATCTGAATGTGATTTTATCCCAGCCATTCCCCTTTAAATCAGAATTTCTAAATATGATATTAACTGAGTGACAAAGCATGTAAATGTTTTTCAAAAATATTACTTTCATGTTTCTTTTATTTTCCACTGGGAGTCAATATTTTACCATTTCTATAATTCTTAAGTCCTGCTAAATGTAGCTATGGATTTCTCTTCTGGATTTGGGGAGAATTAATCCAACTTCTTTTGAACTTAAGGTACACTTAATTCAATATATTTAAACAAAGATAGCAATAATATCCTCACATCAATATTGTAGGAATGGACTTCTAAAATATATCAATGCCCAATGGTACTTGACTTCTAAAAAGTAAATTATTTGCTTTGATATTATGTCTCATTCTATAGTTAAATTGTCTTTATAATGACCAAGCTCTAAAAATACTCTTTTTCTCTTTTGCTATGTTAGTTTTGTTTAGCTATTCTTTGTTCCTTTAATAAGATACAGAATAATAACTGGAAAATTGTCAAATTACTAGCTTGATTTAAAAAATATTTTAAAAACATATCTCAGTTAAAATAATACCCAGATTTTATTTCTTCTGTTTTCAACATAGTATATAATGTAAAATATATAATATATGTGGAACTCAATATCTTTTTGGGTGAAACTCTCAAGTTATCAATATATTGTTAAAGTCATCATATGCCTGAAAGGTATTTAGCAACGCTCTCCTAAACTGAAATGTTCAAAACATGTATTTTAAGGGCAGTCTGTATCAAGTGACCCAGAGAGTTTATAATTTTCAGAGATTAGAACTTATAAATGGGAAGAGTTAGTTCTCTGGGAGATAACTCAATTACTAAAGCTGGAATAAGTGAGGCCTGGCCACACAACCTCCCTATGGGTCTCATTCTGAACTCAAATACCCTCAATTTTGAAGCAGAGAGAATCTTTATAGCTTAATCGTAGTGGTGTCAAGGACTTCCATAACGGGAGGACTTCCTCACCCAGAGGTAACTTCTATTACCTTAGCACACACGCCCATCACAGTCTTTATATCATGAGATATTTTTTCAGGTGTTAATAACATAAAACATTTCATAAGCCTCTACAGGATGTCTATTTCCCATCTTGATATTTATCACCATTTGAATATACATTAATACAAAATATCTGGGTTTTTTATATGTCCATCTCTTACTGTGTGTGGCTTATTATACAAGTATATTGACTAAATCCCATCTTATAAAGCCAAAAGATTGAATACAACTTTCATGAGCTTCTTTCTTTGACCACCTGAAAAATTTGCTTTTGCCCCAAACCATGTATTCTTCATTTGCTATTCAAGATACTTGTTTTTTGAAGATCTGTTTCTTGATAAGTCTATGTTCTGGTAAACAAAGGAAGGTCAGGGTAAATAAATATACATTCTATTCAGGATCTGACCTCAGGCATAGATTTAACTCTGAATGAAGACACATTACTTTTTATTTGAATTCAAATGCAAAAATTTAATACGTTGTCAATGAACAAATGCAATTCACTAGATGAAAGTCTACATATGATATTATAATATCAAATATCAAAAGGGAGTCAGCCTTTTCTATTTTTTATCAAAAATATCCGTTGGGGACATTCGAGTTTATTTGGATATATTTTCACATTTAAATGTCTCTGTGGATGAAAAAATTCTAAATGAACGCAAATACCAGCAAAGAGATCTGGATAAATTAAGTGGGGGTGGTAATGTAGAGAGAATCCAAATGGACAAAAATAAATATATTTCTTGGCTGAAATCAGGGAGTTAAAATGACTAACTCTCCAAAATATAGTTGGAAAACAGAAATCACTTCTCTTTAAAGTTTACAATATGCTCTATTTGGAGATTTTGTAAGAAAAAGTCTAAACATGTTTTGGTAGACTTAGAGTTTGATTCTTGTGTTAGGGATATTTGGTGTATATTTTTTCCCCTTGTGTTCAACTACTTGATATAGACTGCACTTTTTAAAATAATATGTTTTTATTGATTCACAGAGAGGAAGGGAGAAGGAGAAAGAGATAAAAATATCAATAAGAGAGAATCATCAATGGGCTGCCTTCTACACACCCCCTTCTAGGGATTGAGCCCTTGACCTTAAATCAAACCATGACTTCCTTCCTGGTTCATGGGTCAGAGCTCAACCACTGAGCAACACCAGCCGGGCTAGACTATATACATTTTATTATAATGGTTTTCATTAAAACTTTGAGGCATGCAAAAGGGTTTAAAAAGTAATATACTAAGTCTCCTTATTTCTTATAATTCAAGTGCAGTGTTAAAAGGTATTTTACAAAGCTAAAATTAAATCTTACTTGGTCCTTTTCAAATTTATCATGAATGTGATGCAAAACATGATTTTATATGTTCAGCTCTCTTTATATAAAGTTCTGAATTTAAAAATAATAAGTTGTTCTTTTAAGCACTTGAGTAGAATCATTCTTACGACAAGAAATAACAGCTTCTTCAAATAACACTTCCAAATGTCATTTCGATGATTTTCTTAAATAGTTTTAAAAGGCTATTTTCTCATTGTAAAGTCTTGTTGTTATAGCACATTGGGAGATAGAGGGCAATGGGAAAGTACTGGACGTTTTTTAATCCTTATCTTGGTTCTGTCGACATGAGCTTGCTGCTGCTTCTTTCCTGGATTTCATTTTCTTCTCATTTCCTCCAGAGATCAAAAATAGCAGTGTACGAAAAGATGTGGACCTACATGCGGTCAGCGGAGCCGTCCGTGTTCACCAGGACTACCGCGGAGGGCGTAGCTCGAGTCCGCAAGTCCAAGGGCAAATTTGCCTTCCTCCTGGAGTCCACTATGAATGAGTACATCGAGCAGCGGAAGCCGTGTGACACCATGAAAGTGGGAGGAAATCTGGATTCCAAAGGCTATGGAGTAGCCACGCCCAAGGGTTCCTCATTAAGGTGGGTGGAATAGTATAACAATATAACATGTGTTGTTATAGTATTCCACCTTCCCTGATGTCCCTGAGAGAGTTATTTTGTTTTGTTTGTGAACATGGTATGTGTGTTTGTTTATCCGTTTTCTTTTTTTCTCCATTTCATATCTCTGGTCAACAATCAGGTAATTTATTTTTTTTTTAATTTTAGAATAATCCTAGTTGACGTATATTTTTTTAAGGCCATATAAAAACCAAACTGGTTGAACACTAGCTGCTTCCGGCGGGCCTAAAACATGGGTAGCAAATGCTTCTCTGTCGCATCAACTTTTTTTGGCCACTAAAACCTATACTCTCATTGTATCGGCAATAATTCTACATTTTATCTTTTTTTTTTTTTTAAATTATGCCTGCCTACTAGTTTTTGAGTAAGACGACATCCACCTCTTCGTAGCAAACCACTTTTTGCCATTTCAATGTTTCATTTATTATAACATCATTATATTTTAGATTATCCTGAGGTTGTGTTGGTGCTAACTTTGTAATCAGATCTATTTACAAATGCAACCATGATCACAGGGAAAACGGGCTCTGATTTTATGGTGCTTACTCAAGCCACACTCTCGCCTGTTTGCAAAGAGAGTGTGGTATAAGTAAGATCTGTAAAATGAGATCCGATGGCAATCCAAAACTGTTCACACGTAAACCCCTAAGATGTGATTCGTGAGCAATACACATGTAGGTAATCCACATGTGTTAAAAGTGAGACCTTCATTCTTAAGGAAATGTTGGTGAAATCTGCCCTTTTCACCCTTTCGGTCCAGGACATAGAGGATTCACATGTTTATGTCCAGGAGGCAGAATTTCCCGTTTTCCTTAAGGAATAAAGGTTGTTGCTGTTGAATTGCTGGGGCTAAAGCAAAGTTGGAGTCAAACGTGGTGACTGACAAAGTACTCTGGTCTCAGTGCTGCTTAGGAGAGATTCGTGCAAAGCACAGATACAGATTCAAGAAGAAATCAGAGTCTTTTCTAAAGGACTTAACCAAGAACCTGGTCTTGAAAAACGATGTCTCTGGTAAGCCTTTGAAAAAAAAATGAAGGTAATGAGACCTGGACTATTGCCCAGCAGGAATGAAAGCAATATAAACACTATGAGATTGCTTTCATTGGTTTCAAAGAGGGAACTGCAATGTGTTTTGGGTCTCAGTGTTGGGCGGAGGAGGATTTGAGACAAATATAAGAAACAAATGCTATTGCTGGAAAGGGTGTACTAAACCAGTATTCTGTTTTTTGCAAGCCACACTGTCAAAATTAGTGAGGGGCTTGATGGTTTGTTCATAAGGGGCCATTTTAAGAGGAGACAGGACAAAATTAGCTAGGGAAGACAAATTTGGGTGTGGACTGTGGCAATTCCGAAGCCAGGTTTATGTGACCATCCCTCCCATATGGAACTGGAGAAATGTGCAGGGAGAAAGCCGAACAAATAAATTATCCATCGCTACCCCAAAGACTTCAACCATTCAGCAACCTCAGCAGGCTATGGGAGGGTTGATCTTTGAGGGTGTGTTTTATATAATACAATGTGAAAATATCTAAATTCAATGAGGCCAAGTAGCAAATAAATTTTTACGTAGGGAGCAGTTATAAGAGCATCTTAGTGTAAATAATTTAAAAGAAAGGGGAGGGGAGAGAGCCACAGTGGTTCACATGTAGATCAGTGTTCAGACTATTGATTCCATTCACTGGGTGTCGCTTTGGCTCTTAATTAATTCTCTGTGGACGTAGCTGCCTTGTCCTCTGTCTTGTGTCTACTGATAAAGTCATGTTCCAGGGACTGAATTTGGCCTTCAGATACGCATTGATGGCCTGACTCACATTGATGGCAAAAGTTCCCTCTTAAATGTGCCACTTTGTCAAATCCACACTACAGGGCTTGTTTGGGGAGAAGCTGAAGGGCTTCGTCTGTCCAGAACTGTATAATAATCAGCTATTGGCTTCCTCCTCTTTTCCTGTCCTTCCCTGGATCTTGTTAATGAGGCAATTGTGAAACACTGCTTCCTGGATGGAGACTTTGTTTATGAGCTTTGTGTTATGCATGCCACAGTTTCCTGAGCAAGCTGGCCCCTGCATGCCAAAACCACAGTCATTTTGTCCTGTCTTTGAGAACATTGGAAGGACACTGAAGGCTAATCCCCATTCACCTAACCCCCATCTCCTCACTCCCCCACTCCCAGCTCAGCTAAGCAAAAAGCTCATTAAGCTTAAATTCTCATTCTGTTTTGACTATGATCCCTCGGTCATAAAAGAGCAAACTAATATAGAGATTGACTAATAGGTACCTTCTAAATTAATGATTTAGTTTTCAGAAGCAAATTCAAATTAATTGTATCCATCAGAGCAAGATCCAGAGAGCATGCATGCCTGCTTCAAGAGTACCTTGAAACCTCTTTGCCTTATCTGCTCAGTACAAACTAAGTCTGTTTTCCTCTAGGATCTATCTTCTTTAGCCAGGTCTTTAGGTTAATAGCTGTGGATATCATAAGACTTGAGTGTTTTCTTGTCGTTAATTATGGTTTTCTCACAAACTCTGCTGTTTTGATTCATTAGGCAGCGTGAGACTTTAAGAAAAGGAAAACAGTAATTTATCTTTTATGTAAGCTTAATCAGAGAATAACTAGCAATCTCCTGCTGGTCCAGAGTGTTTTCAATGTCTACACCTTACTGTTTAATCAAAATCCTTCAGAAAAGAGCAAGAGTGCGGTATATGATCAGGATAGAACATTGGGACTTGGGTTTTAATGTAGACTTTAAAACAAATGCAATCAGGATCATCACAGAGTATATCTGTGACTGTGTTAAAAATATCACAGCAGAGATGACTAGCACCCACTTTAAGACAGATCATAATGTGCAGACTTCTTTATTTTCCAAAGATACTTTATTTCAGACTAGTGTTTGCTGGGCATAAACGATAAAATGTCAAATGATTGAGTTATCATAGTTCTCAGTCCCAGAAAGTTAATAATTATGCTCAGCCATTACTGTTTTATTTAACTTTTGACATAGGTTCACTAATTTTTAGGTGATAGAATGATGCCAGGTATATTGATGCATTTAAATTTAGAATCTATAGATTCCCATAGGAAAAAAAGGAGATATAATTATAAGTAAATGTACCTATAAGCTATAGATAACAATGAGTGAAAGAACTTAGATCTTACTGTCATTGTTATTTATTTTTCAAGTTACCTTCTAAAAACCTTTTTTAGGTCTTCAGGGACAAAAAAAAGTAAATCTCTTATTTTATATTATTTCTCAACTTTCTCCATACGTTGGTATTTCTTTTGAATCTTCTTTCCACATGCACAGTGTAATTTATACTCCTATCAATCTCATGGCCTTTCTTCCCATCCATTCTTAGACAATCCAAAACATTTATGAAAACTTTTCTCTCGCTGAGAATTGTTTAAAGATTGGTATTGCAATAGAATGTAAAGTATAGGTAAAAGAGGAAGTATGTTTATTTTGACTTTACTATAAATTTTACTATAGTACAAATATATACCATACTATAATACTTATTGCATAGTAGATTTTTATACTTTACTATCAAAATACTCTCCTTACTATATTATCTATATTGTAGTATAGATACTATGCTCTTGACTTCACTATGCAATAAATAAAATGGATAAAGGTTGTCTAGAGTGAATCGTAATTTAGTCAATGCCGATTCACTATTAAGTGGTTGTTAGGTGAAAACACCCCATTCAAAGACGTGTGTGGTATCTGGTACCTGCAAGTACCTCCAGGGGACAAAGCAGTGAATCATAGTTGAGACTTCCCCTGAAGTTTTGTAGGGGCTTGTATACTTGATCCTAATAACTGAAGCCAAGTCTTAAAAAACTAGCCTCCTATAATTTCTGTTCAAATTTTGCCTTCTCTAAGGATGCTTATGGGACTGTGTCTGAAATAAGACAAATGTTCTGTCACATCCCCCTCCAAAAAAAAAAAAATGATGTTTCAAAAAAAAAGCAGTCCCAAAAGACCTTCAGCAGTAATTGGGGGGGGTAGGGGGCGGAATGAAGTCCATGAACTTGCTGGTGCCCAGCAGCAGGGACCCCTGGCAATGTGCCTGTTGCTTTGAAACCAGACATGTCACCCTTAATTCACAAGAGGCAAATCAGATCCCAAAGTACTAGGGTCACAGGAGGAAGAAGTACTGAGAATGAGAATTAAAATAGCACATCTCCCATTGGACTCTTCTTTACAGTACTTAACTCAATCACTGCCCACATAGGACACTTGGCCCCCATCTAGATCGGCATCAGGGTAAGTAGAGTTCTCTGTAGGGGCTGGACTTTGAAGGATTTGTTAGGACAGGTGTATTAAACTTAATATTCAAATTTATGTATGAAAAATATATTATCCCTAAGGAACCACTTTCCCATTAGACATTAGCGAGACATACTTAGTCATCAGTTCAGGTATACTTGGAAGGTTTAGAAAAAAGTGTTTCTCTGGATGTAGTATGCAAGAATAAAACTGTAGTCTTTTTTTGGGGGATAACAAGTCAACTATTAGTACTTAATCTAGACACTAAAAAAACATAGAATTATGTATTTTTAAGCTGAGTACTTAATATTACTGAGCAGCACTTGTCCTCAAAGTGAATAAACTTTTAATTTGTTTTCTGAAACGAGTTGCAGGTGATCTGAACACAATTTTTTAAAAGTATTATAGGAAGAGAGATGTTTTTGCTTATGAACATATTTCATTTTTCTTGGTTCTATATTAAAAGATGCTACATATAACAGTGGTTTTTTTTTTAATCTATGTTCTAGAATGTAGTCTATTGGGCTAGAGAATTAGAAAACACACACACACACACACACACACACACACACACACACACACACACTGATTGTACCTTTCAGCATACACCCACAAAAATACACACAATCCCTGGTTGTGGTATGCTTCAACACTTTCCCAGTTTGCTATTAGAGATGCGATGTTGATTGT